TTCAGCACGGTGCAGTTAGATGGTGATTTGACTTATGATGTGGAGCCAACAACTATTTTGGAGAGTCAGGTTCGAAAGTTGAGATCAAAGGATATAGCTTCAGTGAAAGTGCATTGGAGAGGTCGGCCCNGATGTAACGATCCAGCCGGTCGTTTCATGAGTTACCGCTCTGTTTCCCCATTTCTGCTTCTTATTGATTTGTTTATCTGTTCATTGTGTGATCGGGTTGGTTGGCTCGGGTTCAGAGAGGTTTTGATAAGATTTGAAACACTTAGTCTCTTTTGAGGAAGCTTAAGTTGGAAAAGTCAATCAGATGTTGGCTTATGTGTTAAAGGGCTCGGATGTGAGTTCCGATGGTTTGGATAGCTTCGGGAGGTGATTTGGGACTTAGGAGCGTGATAAGAATGTGTTTTGGAGGTGCGGAGTAGATTTAGGCTTGAATTGGCGAAATTGGAATTTAGATGTTTTCCGGTTGATAGGTGAGATTTTGATACAGGGGTCGGAATGGAATTTCGAAAGTTTTAGTAGGTCCGTTGTTTCATTTGGGATGTGTGTGCAAATTTTCAGGTCATTCAGACGTGGTTTGGTAGACTTTTTGATCAAAAACGTAATTCGGAAGATTTTAGAACCTTAGGCTTGAATCCGATGTGTTTTAGTTGATTCGATGTTGTTTGAGGTGTTTTGAAGATTGGTATAATTTTGAATGGTGGTATATGACTTGTTTGTGCTTTTAGTTGAGGTCCCGAGGGCCTCGGGGTGATTTTGGGTGGTTGACGGAAAGATAGGAATTTGGAAATGGCAGCTAAAGTTGTAGGACTGTTGTCATAACTGCATATGCGGTTGGGAGGCCGCAGGTGCGACCCCTCGCAGATGCGAAAGACCAGTCGCAGAAGTGGAAGGAGCCAAGAAAGGCAGGAACCGCACCTGCGCCATGCGCATGTGCTGATGGTGCATCACAGATGCGGAAATTGAGGCTTAAGTGATGGCCGCAGAAGCGGCGCTTGGGACCGCAGAAGCGGTTACGCAAGAGCGAGTACTGGACCGCAGGTGCGAAAAGCCTGGGCCAGAAGGTATAAAAGGATTCCTTCGCAATTTTTGAGTTGTTCTTCACCATTTCAAGTCGATTTTGGAGCTTTTGAGAGATTTTGAAGAGGGATTCAAGGGATAACGTCTGGAGGTAAGATTTTTGAACCTAATAATCGACCCTAAGGCATTATTTCAGTGATTTGGCCTAAGATTAATGGAAATTAAGGGTTAAAAATTGGGGATCAGGGTTTGGTATTGGACACCTTGACTTGAGGATTTGAGGGGCTATTTGTGGTCGGATTTTGGGAATTTTGATATGTATGAACTCGTGGGGAGATAAGGAATCTATTGATGTAAATTTTATCGAATTCCGAGACATGGGCCCGGGGGTCGGGTTTTGGTTAATTTCGGGATTTATGTTGTAAATTGATTATTTTCGCATGGGCTTCGCTTCCTTAGCATATTTTGACGTCGTAATTTTGATTATGGATAGATTCGACGCGAGTGGTGGCCGATTCGAGGGGCAAAGGCGTCGTGGGCTATAGTTTGGACTAGATTGAGGCGAGTAATGATCGTAAATATTGTCTTGAGGTATGAAACCTCGGATTTCACATCGTTGTATTATATTGAGGTGACGCACACGCTAGATGACGAGTATGGGGTCGTGCACCATTGGGGATTGTGACTTAGTCCATCCCAAATGGCTCTTTTACCACATATTTGATTGAAAACTGTTTGTTATCATCATGTTTTGGGCTGAATGCCATATTTGGGCCTCGTGCCAACTATTTGGACCCTTCGGGATTTTTTACTGCTATTTCCTTATTGTTTTGATTTTATATCTGTACTCAGTCATGCTATACTATACTATTTTCATAACTCAACCATGTTTACTCTGTTTTAATATTTTAAATGATATTTTGGGTTGAACATCATATTTTTACTGTGCCCCAGTGTGTTTTAGAGATTTCTGATTGAGTAAGGCTAAGGACCTGTGTGGTGAGAATACTTTTGGGTCGGGCTGCACGCCGAAGCAGTGATACACTAATTTATGATTATGAGGCCGAAGGCCTGAGATTGTACACCACGAGGTGGCTTGTTGATATGAGGTCGAGAGCCTATTGATTATACCACGAGATGACTTGATATTGTGCTTGGGCCGTAAAGGGCCCCTCCCGGAGTCTGTACACCCCCAGTGAGTGCCGATACCTATTGTGATATGAGATATAGCCCGAGGGGCTGGTGTTGTCCCATATTATTGCCCGAGGGGCTGATTCTATTGACATTATGTCCAAGGGGCGAATTTTATGTGTTTATCTATTCTAGCTGCTTTTCGTTTAATTATTTAACTGTTAAAAAGGTGTTTTAAAGAAGCTTATTTTGAACTAAGGCGACTTTATATGTTTTCACTGTTTCATTGCTTTTTATTGGTTTTACACTGCTTCTTCATAGCATGTTGATGTGTTTTTACGTGATTTCTTATTGCTCAGTCTTGATTTATCACTCAGTGAGTTGGAGTACTCACTTTACTCCCTGCACTCTGTGTGCAGATTTAGGCGCTTCAGGTCCTGCTAGCGCGGGTTGATAGTTTCCAGCAGATATTCGGAGTCCACTAGGTAGCTGCTCGGCGTTCGCAGCCCAGTGTTTCTCCCTCCTATTTTATTTCTCTTGTCCTAGTTATGTAATAGATTGTATAAACTCTTTCAGACTTGTAAAATTATGATAGATGCTCATGACTGGTGACACCCCGATGTCGGGCTGTGTCTATTCTGTAAATTGTATTGTTTCACTATTTATTTGGGATTTAATTATGTTAAAGTCTTAAATTATTTTATTTTAATTGCTTAAAATGAATTGGATATTGTGTCGGCTGGCCTTATCTTCACGAGAGGCGCCATCACGACTGGGTCTGGGTTTACGGTCGTGACAAGAAAAAAAGAAAAAGAAAAAGGAGATAGAAAACAAAGTTGAAAGGAAAGTAAGTAATAAAGGTCTATTCCAGTAATTTATCCCAAATTAAATTGAGACTTTAAGTAAATACTACCCAAGACGTATTTTTCTAAAGTTTTAAGAGTTTAAAGAAGCGTAGATCATTCAAAATTACCTAAATGTGTCATATTACCTAGCTTAGAATATAGATTCCAAAGTATAGTAGAAACCTTATAAGGGAATGTTTGGTGCCAAAATTTTATGTTGACTTTTGAAAATTTGTGTCATATAAAACGGATACAGAAGATGTTAACCTTGCAATAGTAACGGTGTTCCAACATTTTGCACGTACCTCATGTGAATTTCTTTTCTTGAGCCAAGAATTTGTCCAAAACATTCTTTTTAACTTTCTAAGATAGGGGTAAAGTCTACGTACACATTACCCTTCACTGATCATACATTGGAGAATATACTAGATATGTTATTATTATTATTACTATTATTATTGTATTTTCATCCGAATTGATTTATCCTAAAAGTTTGGACGGTGCAACAAAAAACTAAAAGGGTTTCTTAGTCAGTACCTGAAGGAATATTTAGGAGAAGACTGATGAAGAATTTTCTGTGTATTTCATTTGCTTCCTTTACATGTATATATACAAAATAAAAGAATGAAAATCTGTTACTCTACTTTACACGTGTCCTATCTCTATTTGTATATCTACAACTTTCTAGCTAAAAGAATAATCACTACTGTGTATTTATTTTCACTTAGTCACGTGCTGAACAAGCACTAAAGAAACTACTGTGTAAGGAATCCAAAGTGGACAGCTGTATTGAATAAAACGTTCCTAATTAAATCAACCATGATTTTATGAATGGTCCTGATCTTTAGATGAGCCTTGCATTTGGACGGTTGGGATGCAATTCATTAAAAAGAGAATAAGAAGAGTCTTTTGACCAAAGTCTGAATCTGCTTTGTTAAGACCAAAGTTCATTAGGTTCCACGTCTTGTCTCTTCTTCTTCCTCCATAGTTATTTCAGCCATGGCGTCTGGTAGTACAGCTCCAACACCCCCCCTAAAGTTGGAGGGAGGTGTAACCACACCCAACCTGGTGATAATGGAGCTGTGTGCCGGTCCAGTGAGTGGTTTAGTGAAGATGTCGGCGATTTGAGCTCGAGAAGGAATATACAAAAGAGAGATGATGTCGGCCAGAAACTATTGCCGAACAAAATCGCAATCCAACTCCACATGTTTAGTTCTCTCGTGAAAGACTGGGTTTTTCGCGATGTGAATGGCTGCCTGACTGTCGGAGAGTAGATCAACAAGAATGGGAGCAAAAATGGAAAGATCGGAGAGCAAGCGGATAAGCCAGGTAACCTCAGTAGTAACTCGACGCATAGATCTGTACTCTGCTTCAGCAAAGGATAATGAAACTGAGGTTTGTTTCTTGGATTTTCAGGAGACAGGAGAACCCCCAAAGCTGATAAAGAAACCGCTGATAGATTTGCGAGTTTGTGGACAAGATCCCCAATCCGAGTCACAGAAAGCAAGGAGCTGATAATCAGGCCTGGAATTCAGAAAAAGCCCCAAAACTTGGGTCCTTGAGGAGATAGCGGAGACAATGAAAAGCAGCATCTAGATGAGGTTGACGAGGTGTTTGCATGAATTGGCTGAGGTGCTGCACTGCAAAAAACAAGTCTGGTCAGGTATGGGTTAGGAAATTAAGTTTTCCTAACAATCGACGATAAAAGGTGGGATCTTGGATGGGAACCCCGATGTTTGCTCTCAATTTCTGGGTGAGATCCAAAGGAGAAGAAGCTGCTCTCATGCTCAAGCAATTGAATTCAGACAAAAGATCTAAGGTAAACCTCCGTTGAGTCAAAATTATGCCTTGTGTCTCCCTTAGGATTTCAAAACCCAAAAAATAATGTGCATCCCCTTGATCTTTTATTTGAAACTCAGAATGAAGGAAAAATTTGAGGGTTTCTTGTTCAGTAGGATCATCCCCTGTAATTAAAAGGTTATCAATCATAGATCGCAACAATTGTAATTCTTCCTGCTGACTTTTTAAAAAACAATGAATAATCATTTAGAGAGAGAGAATAGCCCTTAAAGTTTAGTGCTGCGGTGAGTCCTGCATACCATTGCCTTGAGGCTTGCCACAGTCCATAAAGGGACTTTTTCAAAAGACAAACATGATTGGGTGAGGGTGGTGTAATCCCAGCGGGGAATTTCATAAACACCTCTTCCTGCAAATCCCCATGTAGAAAGGCATTATTCACGTCCAATTGTGACACCTTCCACCCCTTCTTTACTACAATAGCAAGTAGACACCTAATAGTCGTCATCTTGACAACTGTGGAAATAGTCTCAGTGAAATCGATTCCTTCTCTTTAGGTGTCTCCCCTGATAACTAAACGAGCTTTGAATATCTCTAAAGAGCTGTCAGACTTGTACTTTACCTTGTAAACCCACTTGCAAGGTATAACTCTTTTTCCTTTAGGCAGCAGTACAACTTCCCAGGTTTTGTTCAATTCTAAAGCATTTAATTTTTTTTTCCATTGCTTCCTGCCAACCTGGATGTAATACTGCCTGAGAATAGGAAGAAGGTTCAGTAAGATAGGAAGTAGAATTGAGCAAAGACTGATTTGTAGAAGAAAGGGTTGTGAAGGGCAAAACAATTGAATGGGTGGAATGAAACAGGACAGTGTGAGATCTGTGAGGAAAACTGAATTGCACACATAATCTTTGAGATAGGAGGGTGGATTATGTGGTCTAGTGGACTTCCTGACTTCTGGAAGATTTGTAGGAGTAGGTGGTATAGGAGATGAGGTAGATGATGGGGTAGGACTTGTGTCTGTGGTTTAAGGGAAATGGCTTGAGTTGGTTGGGTTAGGAAATGTGGGCATTGAAAGTGAGGGTGAGTTTGGAATATCTGGCTCAATATAAGTATGGTCTGAGAGGTAATCTGCATTTTGGTCTAGGTGTGTGGTGACAGGAAAAAAGGATTTATAGGTTTAGTAGTGGAAGCAAAAGGATACTGATTTTCACAGAAACACACATCTCTGGAAATAGTCACTCTTCTTGTGTCCAATTCTAGAACTTTGTATTCTTTCTGCCCCAATGGATAACCCAAGAACACACAAGGTTTGGCCCTTGGGTCAAACTTACCTCTCCCAGCAGCTAAAGTAGATGCATAGCAAAGACAACCAAAGCATTTCAAAGAATCATAAGAGGGTTCCTGTTTGAATAGAATAAAATAAGGTGTCTTTCCTTTGAGAACCCTAGAAGGCAGTCTATTAATCAAATAGGTAGCAGTCAAGACACATTCTCCCCAATAAGGAGTAGGAAGTTTAGGCTGAAACAATAGGGCCCTTGCAATTTCTAATAGATGTCTGTGCTTCCTCTCAACCACCCCATTCTGTTGAGGGGTTGCCACGCATGAAGTTTATGCAGTATTCCTTGAGAAATTAGAAAAGCTGTCTCCTGAGTGCCTTTCCCAAGCTCAAAGGCATTATCAGACTATATCTTTTGCACTCTTAAACCAAACTGTCTTTCTACCATGATAAGGAAATTTTTGAGAAGACCAAAAGCATTGCTTTTGGTACTCATAAGGAAAGTCCAGACTGCCCTGCTATAGTCATCAACAATAGTCAAGAAATACTTGAAACCATTATAGGTTGTTTCCTTGTAAGATCCCCAAACATCTACATGAATTAACTCAAATGCCCTTATTGATTTAATTTGGCTTAAAGGAAAGGAAGATCTGGTTTGCCTAGCTTTAGGACAAATTTCACAAAAACATTCAGAATTAGAAGGCAAAGAACTAAAACTGAGATGTTTCATTGATGAAAAGGGCAAATGCCCTAACCTAATGTGCCAAAGGCTTACATTTGAAACTGAACTTGCTGAAACAGGAAAAAAAACTGACAACAGATTAAAACTATTTTTTAAAACTGAAACTGGTTCCACACTTGTGCTAGACTTAACTCCACTTGGATTCAAAAGGTATAGTCCATCCCTTGCCTTACCAAAAACTTGTGTCTTCTTCACAAAAGGTACCTGCATCATACAGTGATTAAAAGTGAAGAATAGAATAGAATGAAATTGCAAAAAAAAAAACCTGTTAACAAATAATAGATTATATCTGAAACTAAGTACATGTAAAACATTTTCCAAAATGAAGTTAGGCAGAACAGATATTCTTCCTATGTGGGTTACAGTGACTTTGAAAGAATTGGGCAGATTTATGTTTAGGGGGTTTGGCAAGGCTGTCAGGGAAACAAAGGCACTAGAGTCAAAACACATATACTTAGATACACCAGAGTCAATAATCCATGTATTAGTATTAAAAATTGAAAGACAAGTTCCAGAATATCTAGTAATGGTACCAACAACATCATTGGCATTTATGTCAGTTCCAGAGTTGCTTGAGTCTCCTCCCTTAACCTGCTTGATTAATTAAACTAGATGAGTGAACTGATCATGTGAGAGGTGTTGATTGAGTGCTTCATTGTGACTGGTTCCATCAGGTTCTGTTCCTTCAGTTTGGAATGCCCATTGCTTCTAGCCTGTGCTTGATTTTCTCTTGTGAATTCAAAGTCTTCTGGAAATCCTATAGTCCTGTAACAATCATTTAAAGTATGCCCTACTTTCTTGCAATGACTGCATGTTGCATTTGGGTTGAATTTAGCTTTCCTTCCCTTGAGAGTTGTGTTTCTTTGAGTAGTGGCCTTTTGATTTCCAAACTTATGGTTTGCTGATTTTTGATACTGCATTTGAGTTCTTTGCATCTGTCTCATTCCTCTTTGTGCAAAGTTGTTCTGATTTGTTACCATGAAAGATGAAGAGTCTGTGGAGATTAGTGGGTCAGCAAAGGCTTCTTTCTGGCTTTCATCTTGCAAAACTAGGGAATATGCTTGATTGATGGTTGGCAGAGGGTTCATCAACAAGATGGTTCCCCTTGCTTGACCATAGTTGTCATTCAGCCCCATTAAAAACTGAATAAGTCTCTCATCCTCTATTGATTTTTCCAATTTCTGCTTCCCTTCACATATACATAAGCAATTGCACCTTATATCACAGTTGAGGGAGTCTAGTTCATCCCATAGTCACTTCAGTTTTGTAAAGTAGGTTGCTATGTCACTGCTTCCTTGTGTCAACCCTGATAACTCCTTCCTTAGATGATAGAGCTTAGCTCCATTTGACTGTCCAAACCTATGTTCAAGGTTGGTCCAAAGGTCTCTAGCAGATTTAGAGTAAATAACACTGTCTCCTATGTCTTTGGACAATGAATTAAGTAGCCAAGATGTCACCATGTCGTTACACCTGCTCCAAGCCTGAAAATCTGTGGAGGTAAGGGCTGGAGCAGGACAAGCACCATTGATGAATCCTATTTTGTTTTTGGCAGATAAAGCTACGAGTATAGATCATCTCCAGCCTTGGAATCCTCTTCCATCAAAAGCTGAGTTGACAAGAGACATTCCTGGCGTGTTAGAAAAATGGAGAAAATAGGCATGGTTTGAATCGATGGTGCTGTTTCCTGCATTGGTGGTTTTTTCTACTATTGTTTGAGTGTTATCACCCATGATCTAGGATTGATGTGATGATGAAGAATGAAGATGAAAGTGATTTGAAGGATCGAGCATTCACTGCTCAGTAGGAATATTTAGGAGAAGAAGACTGATAAAGAATTTTTTGTGTATTTCATTTGCTTCCTTTACATGTATATATACAAAATAAAAGAATCAAAATTTGTTACTCTACTTTACACGTGTCCTATCTCTATTTGTATATCTATAACTTTCTTGCTAAAAGAATAATTACTACTGTGCATTTATTTACACTTAGTCACGTGCTGAACAAGCACTAAAGAAACTACTGTGTAAAGAATCCAAAGTGGACAGCTGTATTGAATCAATCGTTCCTAATTAAATCAACCATGATTTGATGAATGGTCCTGATCTTTAGATGAGCCTTGCATTTGGATGGTTGGGATGCAATTCATTAAAAAGAGAATAAGAAGAGTCTTTTGACCAAAGTCTGAATCTGCTTCGTTAAGACCAAAGTTCATTAGGTTCCACTTCTTGTCTCTTCTTCTTCCTCCATAGTTCTTTCACCCATGGCGTCTGGTAGTACAGCTCCATCAGTGCCCTTGTTAGTTGCACTAGCAGTATCTTTCTGAAATATACTATCATTTATCTTCATTTTAGCTCCATTTACTTTACCAACTAAACAATTGGTCTGGTAGTCTTTAACATTTTAAAATTTCTAGTCAATCAATTGGTCTGGAAGTCTTTAACATTTTAAAATTTCTAGTCAATTTAAGGTAATACAAAGTACAAGAAAAAAAAAATTCCGTGAGACAATTGCAGATTAAAACAATAAAATATAAATAGAAAACACTAAGAAACCGAAGCTTCAAAATTTAGTGGAAATTCATTTGCAAAAGGTCAAAATGGTGACGATTCTCAGTTAGATTCATCTTACAAACTAACATCTAACAACTAAGAATTATAAATCCTGTACATGTATTACTTAATTACAACCTCATTGAACTCAAAAAAGGTCATCAAAGACGGAACCAAAATTTTAAGTTGATGGATTGTGAAGCACAACGTTTTTTGCTTACTACATTCAAAATAGATGATGTATATATTAAGTGAATTTTTTTTTATATAAATATAGAGTTTGAGGTTTTATCGAACCCGTAATTTTTATTGTGGCTCCGCTCCTACATGTCACACTAGACGCAAGCACATATTTTTCTTTTTTATTTTTTTTATGCTTCTTTTGATTTTTGACGTTTAAACGTATGTCATCCATTAAGTTACATCATATTCTTCCACATTTTAAGATAAGATAAGAATGATTAAAATGATGAAGTAATACATCAGATAAATGAAATTTGTACTTTTACTAAACTCAATGGACATGTGTTTTTTTCTAGTTTCTTGTTAAGAAAAGGACAATCCAACTAATAAATGTGGCTATTGGCGGGCAGGTCAACTAATTTTAATGCCGCATGCATATAAATTTTATCCTTTTCCAATACAAACCTAGGTATCCTCATACGTTTAATTCACTCACTTAATTATCAGTGCAATTTAACTTACTCCCTCCGGTCCAATATAAATAATTTTTTTAGCTGTTTTCACACAGATTAAGAAATTCATCTTTTAATATTAATTAGCAATGAAATTGACCATATTAACCTTTATTATCTCTTCACATAAATATTCCTAACACATACTCCAATACTATTTACTCCAAGGCAATGTAGGAAAAAAATAATTAATTCGTTCTTGAAATCTGAAAAAATCACTTATTATGGACCACAAAAAAAGTCAAAAACTCACTTATTTTGGATCGGAAGGAGTATTTACTAATTTCATCCTTTTTAAGCAGTTACTTGTAATTACTTCATCTGTTCTCTTTTACTTGTTTAGATACTAAAAATAAAGATCTTTTACTTGTTACTCCATCCAGTCCACTTTAATTGATTTTTTCCTTTTTTTATGGTCCATAATATTTGATTTTTCCAGATATTGAAAAGGAATTAATTTTTTTTAAAGTTGCCCTTAGAGTAAAGGGCATATGAGTATTTTTTATTTTTTCATTGAACAAATTAAGGTTATGGTCAATTTTATTTTTAATTAATCTTAAAAGGTAGATTCCTAAATATGTGTGAAAATAGCTAAAAAAAAATCAATTAAAGTGGACCGGATGGAATAAATATTAACAAATCATGAGAAATTTATTTTATTTTTTAAAGTTTTATCCTTATAGTTAAATAATCATTTCTCAAACTAATAGAACTACTAGTAGTCAAATTTAAACTTTCAAATTACCATTCATAAGGATAATTTAGTAAAAAAATTAATATTTTGAAATGATCTGATAGTGTAATATCAAACGTATAGAAGGTAAACTACTCATAAACTACCAAAACTAAATGAATTTTCGAAACTTTTCTTTTCCTCAATTAAAATTTAAAACCATTTCTGGTTGGAAGTTCACCGAATGAAAGCGTCATAACTTGAAACCAGCAAACTAATAGTGAAGAAAAATAAACACCACCCTAAAAATAGAATATTTTCATCGCTAGCTATCTTGAAAAATGTATTATAAAAGCAATTAGTCAATGTACTAGTCTTTCAAGAGTGTATATAAGCTAACCATTCTCCCTTTATTTATACTATAGGCACTTTTCTCAGTTTGAAATCTTTCAAGAAATAACCTACAAAATGGCAATAATAGGGTTAGGTTACATTGAAATTTTCTTAGCAATACTATGCTTTTTCTTGTTTCATGGGTTAAAAGATACAAAGGGATATCCAAGAAATTGGCCAATTTTTGGTATGTTACCAGGCACCCTTTATTACATGCAAGAAATTCATGAAAGGGTAACTATGACTATGAGGAGATCAGGTGGCACTTTTTTATTCAAAGGTCCAATATTTGCAAAACTGGACATGTTAGCCACAGTTGATCCAGCAAATGTGCACTACATCATGAGTGAAAATTTCATGAATTTCCCAAAAGGGCCAAAGTTTAGGGAGATTTTCGACGTTTTAGGAGATGGGATTTTCAACGCGGACTTGGATTTATGGAAGATTCAAAGGAAGACGGCTCGTGCTTTGATCACTCACCAACAATTTTACAAGTTTTTGGTAAAGACTAGTCGCGAGAAGGTTGAAAAAGGGCTGATTCCAGTTCTTAATCATGTTTGTCACAAGGGTGTAATAGTGGATTTACAAGATTTATTTCAAAGGTTTACTTTTGACACTACTTGTATATTGGTTACTGGATATGATCCTGGTTGTGTATCTATTGATTTTCCTGATGTTCCTTTCTCAAAAGCAATGGATGATGCTGAAGAAGTAATTCTTGTTCGACATGTCATGCCTGAGGCTATTTGGAGGCTACAAAAATGGCTTGGAATTGGAGAAGAAAAGAAGTTGATTAAAGCTTGGGAAATTATGGACAATGTTATAGGCAACTATATATCCAAAAAACGCGATAAGTTGTTGAAAATGGAATCTGAGTTAAAATTAGAAGACGAGGGGTTTGATCTTCTGACCTTTTATCTCAAGGAAGGTCAGTATATGGGAGTGAATTGTGATGATAAGTTCTTGAGAGACACCATCTTGAACCTAATGATAGCGGGGCGTGACACGACTAGTTCAGCTCTCACATGGTTCATTTGGCTTGTTACACAAAATCCACAAGTTGAAAAGAAACTAAGGGAAGAAATCAATTCAGTTATTCCCAAAGAAGAAGTTGGAAATTGGAGGCTCTTTAATGTTCATGAGTTGAACAAGTTGGTTTACCTACATGGTGCATTATGTGATTCGTTAAGGCTATATCCACCAGTTCCATTCCAGCACAAAGAGCCGCTTCAAGAAGACATGCTTCCAAGTGGTCACAAAGTTCATCCAAAGTTGAAGATTTTGTTTTCCTTGTACGCGATGGGGAGGATGGAATCAATTTGGGGTAAAGATTGTTTAGAATTCAAGCCGGAGAGGTGGATTTCCGAGCGAGGAACTATTAAGCATGAACCTTCATATAAGTTTTTGGCTTTTAATGCTGGACCAAGAACTTGCTTAGGGAAAGAAGTGGCTTTCAATCAAATGAAGGCTGTGGCTGCTACTATCATCCATAATTACCAAGTTCAAGTAGTAGAAGGACACCCTATTAAACCTAATACTTCTATTATTCTCTATATGAGACATGGTTTTAAAGTTAGGATTAGTAGGAGATTGCCTTAGTGATAGTGTAATAGTCAAATTTATGTTTGTTTGTGTTGCTATCTTATTTTGTTTACTACAATAAATAAAGCATGTAAAACTTCTAACAAGAACTTATGTTAGTTTTTCTTTTTGTTATTTTATGCAAATAATTGGTGGATTCTTATCAAGAGTTGATGATGTTTCTTAATTAATTAGGGAAAAACATGAATACCATGCAGTTGTTGAGAATAATGTGTGCAGTATTTAGACATTTAATTTTTGGAAGAAGAATTTAGAATATATCGGACATAAAAGAAGTTGAATTAAGTAAATCTTTTGTGATATTAAAAGAGTAAAGTGCAATAAAGCCCTATAACTTTTAATTAGACAACTTTCACCTTAAAGTAAAATTTTGTAGCAAACGTACGTTAATGTACCACTCAGGTAAATGACGGGTTATAAGTTAATGTTAAAACCTTAAAGGGTACTAGTCTTTATTTTTTTGAGTGAAAATACGAAATATTATTAATAACTAAACATTTGTACAAAGACGAGCCAAATAATTACAAGTAGTAGTAGCAATATTCCTAACAAAACACCTTTTCCACTTTGTCCGAATTCATTTGACGCTCCACAAAATAGGGGGATTAGGTAGAGTAACAAAAACATCTTTCCAGTTACTCGGTGCAAAATTTCTTAATAATCTGCCGCTAATTCGTCGCTAAATGGATTTTTTAATTTAACTATAAAATTTGATCGGCACTAATTTTTTTTTTAATATTATTTTTCTGATTTCCAACTATTAGTTCAATTAGTTTTGTGGAATCAACTTTGATTTTCAAAAAAAGGCTAGTGTAACAACTTAGTCAACTAGTAATATTATATGTTTTGGAGCTAAGTCCGCATGGTATTAAAAAGCGCTACTGGGGTCATACGCATGCTTCTTTATATATTTCGGTGTCTCTCCCATGATTTATTGATGTGAAATTTCCTACAGTGTTAGGCTCAGTTCAAAATGATAGTATCACTAGTGAATTAA